CGCCACGCCCCGCCACGCCCCGCCACGCCCCGCCCCGCCTGCACTGCGTGCAACGACGCGCGCACGCGTTGCGAAAACAATTTGCGTGGACGTGAGGGGACTCTGTGCTGGCGCCGGCCCGCGCCGCCGCACGCACGAGAGGGGCGTCATATTCGGGGTCAAGGACTACTCGGCGCGCGCGTGCAAGTAACGGCACAGTGCGGCGCGCACAGTGGCGCACCGGGCAGTTAGGGATCAGCCAGAGAGTGCGACGACCACCGATGCGCCGTTGTGCGGAACTGCCATGAAGCTGAGCTTGTGCGAAGTCTCATAGCGCCTGATGGGTAGGCAACATCTTGCCTGTAGCGCATTCGTGTGCTGCGGGACGGCCTACCCTGAGATTCGCAGGCGCCTAGCTCCAGTTAATAACCAGACGAATCCAAGAAAAACCAATACCCTGTAAAAAAAATATGTTCGTAAATGTACCATACATTTTGTATTTGAATAGATTTGTATAATTAATTTAAACTGTAAATGTACGTGGGGTGAACCACTCCATCGCTATCGGTTCGTTTTTAAAAACCAGAAGTCGTATCAAAGTGCGGCAAAAATGAATGTAAACTCGTCGGAAATTCGGACTGCTTTATGTAGATTGATAAATTGTCTTCTAGTATGAGAAAATACGAGTTAAAAAGGCTCTTGTGGTCTCTGAAAACAGCCCATTTTGACAAACAGTCCTGATCGAATGCAAGGCCATCAATCTCATAAAGAATTATACCGTTCTAATCCTCATATTGTCACATTTATTTCGAAGTAAGGATCGATGTACTGTACTTTGATTGAGTTAAGAACCCAAGAAAGCAATTTTAGTTTATGTCCACACACGCTCCGCCAGGCCGGTGGCTCGCTGAGGGACCACTGTCACTAGCAAACCTGGCGGACAAAAGTGGCGGTCGCCATCCTCAATACATAACACAGCAACAGTACCCGGAACAACAATTTCTCTGAGGCAGGAAGAGCCCTAAAATGGCTTAGAGTTTAGAAGACACAATCCCTATTCTATTTTAGGGCAGCACTTTATTCAGACGGTGATGCTGCGATCGTGCGCTTTTTGAGCAGTGCCTTAATGTTATCAATTATTTGTTATTTTGACATTGGCCTTCTGTTAACAATGTTTTTCCTTCGGTTTCACAGTGCGCGGGGTGCCCCCTGGCCCAGGCCGGGCGAGCGGTCCGTGGAGCGGTCCGTGGAGCGGCCAGGCCCCGGGGCGAGGCTGCCACTGCCAGGGGCAAGCAGCCGGAGCGGCGAGGTAGCAGCGCCTCGCCCCGCCCCGCCACGCCGCGCCACGGCCCGCGGCCGCCGCCGCCGCCGCCACCACGTCGACGCCACGCCCCGCCACGCCCCGCCACGCCCCCGGCGCAGCAGCAGCGGCAGCCACCACCACTTCCGCCTGCACCTCAGGGCCAGAGCCGCCCCGCCGCGCCACCATGCGGGCCTCGCCGCCTCGCCTTCCCTAAGGTGAGCCATCGGTAGCAAACAGGAGTTCCTCGTCCAGACTGATGATTTGCGAATGGAGACGAATCGCCCCGCGCTTGCACGCCGAGATAAGAATAACTTGGGCCCGCCAGACCTAACAAGCAGTGCGGCAGCGAGGGCGGCGCTGGCGCGTCGTTAGGGGACGCGGCCCCGCCAGCGCGAGCGCCAGCCTGCCCCCCTTAGGCTGCTGCACTCACCCTCTCGTTTGTCACGCTCCCCCTGCTCTCTTCCTCCATGCGCTCTGCCCTCCCCTCCCC